CCGAGCCCGTGCCGCGGCCGCGTGGAGGTGCTATACGCCGGGGTCTGGGGCACCGTGTGCGACGATGACTGGGACTTCGCGGACGCGCGCGTGGCCTGCCGCGAGGCGGGCTGCGGGCCGGCGCTGGGTGCCACGGGCCTCGGCCACTTCGGCTACGGCCGCGGCCCCGTGCTGCTGGACAACGTGGGTTGCGCCGGCACGGAGGCCCGCCTGAGCGACTGCTTCCACCTGGGCTGGGGCCAGCACAACTGCGGCCACCACGAGGATGCGGGCGCGCTCTGCTCAGGTGAGGCCGCTTTAGGACCACGTATGCACGGCGGCACGGGCAGAGCACAGCGCCATCTGAGGAATGGCAGGGGGTGGCGGTGTGCCGCGCGCAGGCGCTTACTGCGACACGGGCGGGGCCTGCTGTGAGATGGGCGGGACCGGCGCAGGCGCGTACTGCGGCGCGGGCGGGATGAGGCAGGCTCTGGGGAATGGGCGGGGCCTCGCGCAGGCACGCTCTGCGGCGCGGGAGGGGCGGGGTCTGTTGGGAAATGGGCGGGGCCGAGCGTCAGAGCTCGCCGAGGCATTACGGCGTGAGCGCAGCGGGAGAGAGGACTCACGCTCCGCAGACAGAGGCGGAGCCCACCATCGGCGCGCTCTGCGGCTGCGCGGCATGAGCGGGGCCGGAAGGGAGAGCCCTCTGCGGCAGTGAGGGGCGGGGCCCGAGGTGAGAGGCTGAAGTCTTGTGGTAAAGTGTGGCAAAACCTGTAACAGACAGAGGTGGCTGGGGAGGTTTTGTCCTGCTGCGTCAGGGACCCAAAAAACTCTAGTTAGCAGGGAGAGTTGATCAGCTTTCGGGGAGCAAGCGTTTGACCCTTGGTGGGAGTCAATGGAAAAGGGGTGTTTGCAGAGTCTGACACATTTAAAAATGCGTCTCTTTATTGATTGCTTTGGGAATTGTTATTTTCGCCCTGGTTTGGTATCCTGGTAGCCTTGGCCACAAAGGGTTCTGCTTTGGGCCCCAGGGTGAAAGAAGCACAACCCACGTTTCTGTACCAAGGAGCAGGGACCTATGAAGTCCTTTCTGACCCTAAATCAGTCCTCCCTTGGAGGGTAAGAGGTGACCTGGCCTCAAGGGATTTGTTCGCCAATGTGACAGCCACCTGTTTCTTTGTCCTTGCTGAGCCAGGCCCAGAGGAGCTAGTCCAGCAGGATGGTGCTGAGACCACCCAGGTGCCCACTCCTCGGCCCAGGGACGGTAGGTGTCCACCGTCCCTAAGAGTGAAGTGGAGGCATCAGGATACGAAGGACCAGATTTGGAAGGAGGTCACAGCCCCGGGTTACACAGCAGATTTGCACCAGGTCCTGGAGCCTTTGTCCTTCTGCAAGAGTCTCAGGCCTCATTAATAGAGGCATGATGTCCAGAAAGAGGGAGGTGGGTTTTAAGCTAGAGTCATCTAGAGATTTCTAGAGTTGGGACCAAAATAAAGGGATGGGCTCCTGTCCTCAGGAGAGCAATGAAAGAATTCAGACTTTAGTCTGGGGAGTCCAGGGAGGAGGGGAGACGATAATGATAGAGAGCAGCCCTGGGTCTGAGGTATTGGGATTGTGAACAAAGAACTAAGGAGAGAGCAGACATGAAGCTCCCAGCATGCAAAGAGCGCCCCACAAAGGCTTGTGCACATTCTTCTGATCTTGAGATGCAGTCTGGACTGATGCCCATCTTATTTTAATCTCATTTGTCTGCCTTCGTCCAGTGGTTCCCAGGACACTGCTGTGTCCCAAATCACCACCCTTTGCCTCCTCTAACTACCCCTTACCTGGCCTAGCTTGGGAGTGGCCTGGCCTGGGCCAGCCCCTTCCAGCCCCAGACCTTGTCTCCCCACAGGGCACTTACGTCTGGCGAATGGAGCCCACCGATGCGAGGGCCGTGTAGAGCTCTTCCTAGGGCAGCAATGGGGCACTGTGTGCGATGATGCTTGGGACATGCGGGCAGCCGGCGTCCTGTGTCTCCAGCTGGGCTGTGGCCAGGCCCTGGCAGCCCCTGGTGAGGCCCACTTTGGCCCAGGCCGAGGCCCTATCCTCCTGGACAATGTCAAGTGCCGTGGGGACGAGAGTGCCCTGCTGCTCTGCTCTCACATCCGCTGGGATGCCCACAACTGTGACCACAGTGAGGATGCCAGTGTCCTGTGCCAGCCATCGTGACCCAGCCCACTCTGCAGACCACTTCTTCTGGGAGCCTACTGTGGCCTGCCCCTCTTCCTTCAGGAAGTCCTCCTCCTGTGACAACTGCAGTTCACTCTGCCCTTCCCTCGCCTTGCCTGGGAGAGAGCCTGCCCAGATGGTGTAGTCCTGCCTGAGGGAGCCTGGCTCTATCCCATCAACTTAGTGTGTGACCTCACCTGTCATCACCTACTGTGGGCCCAGTTCAATGAAAACTCCTACTTTCTGCTCAGCTAAAACAGAAACTGGTGGGAAGGGGAGAACTCCTAACTTTCCTCTTTGGTGGGACTCCTGTTACAATACCCTTAACCCAGCCTTCCTTAACCCTGGTCCAGGAGGTTCAGGTGCTCCCTGTAAATGGGGTATCTCCTTTCCCCCCCACCCATCTTGGGATCCTCAAGAAGAGGGGAAGGCAGGAGAGGCCTACAGCTCTTATCTTAGACTGGTCTGGGGCTGCAGAAGGACCTGGGTCGTTGCCCTGGCCTGCTCTGTGAGGGCCTGGACTCAGATGGTGCTTGGCTGGACAAGGGGACTGGAGGGGCCAAAGCAGGGACAGTGGCCCCTCCCTGCAGCTGGAACCAGCAACTCGATTTATGCTGCTCCCACCACAGAGCCTCCACTTTGCAGAAGCAAAGAACCCTGGGGGCCTGTAGCCACCTGTTCATAGGTGCCAAGTCAATAAAGCATTGTCCCCCCGTCTTTTAACCGAGGTCAATGTTTGGGCATAAGTGCATTGTTTGAGGCAGCAGGGAAGACTCTGGTTAGGACTCTCTGGAGGAAACCTGCCTGGGGTGGAGGGCAGTTCAAGAGCATCATCAGAGAGCTTTCAGCAGGCCCATCACATCCTGGAAATGCTGACTCACAGTGTCAGGCCAGGAAGGCCCCTAAAGGGTCCCCTAGCTCATCCCCGTTTTCCTTTTACATACACAGACTCCTAAAGGAAGGGGTCTGCTCAAAGGCACATAGCAAGAGTCATTAGAAGAGAAAACATTGAGAGGAGGCAGAAAGGATGATGTAGCAGAGTAAAGCAGCATCGGGGCTTCCCCAGGGGCTGCTCTTGAGGTGCCTCACCCAGTGCCCCAGGGCTAGAGGGAAATGAGGGATCCCGCCAGCCTCTCTCAGCCCCGCCCCCAGTGGCTGACTTGCCAGTAGCAACTGTCTGACGTCAAACCCCCGCCCTCCACATCAGCCTGCAGGCTGTGTGAGTTTCCTATCCCTGCCGTAACAAATTACTATAAATTTAGTGGTTTAAAGCAACAAATTTATTATCTTACAGTTCATGAGGTCACGAGTCTGAAATGGGTTTCCCTGGGCTCAATTCGAGGTGTTGGCAGGGCAATATTCTTTCTAGAGGATCCAGTGGGGAATCCTTTTCCTTACCTTGTCCAGCTTCTAGAGGCTGCCTGCATTCCCTGCCTGCTCACAACCTCCTTCCAGCCAGCATTGCATCACTCTGACCCCAGCGTCCATCATCTCATCTCTTTTTCTGATTCTTCTGCCTCCCTCTTCCATCCTCAGAAGGCCCACCTGGATAATCCAGGATAATCTCCCCGTCTCAAGGTCCTTAATTTAACCGTGTCTGCAAAATCTTTTTAGCTACGTAAAGGAGCATTTTCACCAGCTCCAGGGATTAGGACTTGACCTCTTGGGGGGGGGCAGGGGGGGCGGGGGCGGGAATTATTCTGCCTCCCACAGGCTCCAAACCCAAGTCCTGGCTGCCAGCCAAAGAGTGAGGTAGATGCTTAAGCTCCAAACTCCATCAGCTCTTGGCAGTATTGGTTTTGTCTCCATTTGTCAGGGAGCTCTCTGTGACCCACTGTGTCATTAGAGGGATGAGGGCTGGAGGAGTGAAAGGAATGAAAATGCTTAAGAATTCAGGGAGTCGGGGCAGAGGGACAGGGATGCTGTAGCTGCCCTCAGCCCCTAGACCTCAGTGCAGCACACTCAGATTCTGCTTAGCCTGTGGTCATTGCCACTCCAGCCACACCCACACTCGAGTGTGCCTCTCCATTGTCTTGAGATGTGTCACGGCTTCCCACCCCTGGACTCCCCTTCCCCATCTCAACAAAGTGCTTTCATCAATGCTCAACTAAAGGGAAGTATTAGGATCCCTTTTTACAGACAGGGACAACTGAGGCTCAGAGCGGGGAAATGACTTGTACAAGTTCGCAGAGGAGACTCAGGACCAGAAGTTAAGATTCTTGATGCCCATTACTGGGCACCAACATGTCCAGTTCTTCCCCTTCCTGGCATGTGGTAGATTTGTACTTCCCGGTCCTCTTGAAGTGAGGCATGGCATGTTGACACGCTTTGGCTGATGAAATGTGAGTGCAAGTATCCCCCTCAGGCAGAAGCCTTCAAGGACCCAAGCACTATCTGCCAAGTTCCTTTCCTTCAAGGTGACCAGTGACATTCCAGGTGGTGGAGGCTCCATCAGTCTGGGTCCCCACCTGGAGAAAAGCTTCCATTGACTCAAGATGGGCAGGTAGAGTGAGTGAGAAATCTGAGTTTGGGGGTGGTTTATCATAGCAGCGTAACCTAGCCCATCCTGAGTGAGACACTGAGGCTCCTAAATTTTTCTCTGTCCTGTGGTGTCTACCTGAAACCTGTTTTCCAGACAGTTACCAAAGCTGTTCTGCTGTCTGTTTTCCGTGGTTCTGTGTACACTTTGGTGTTCTGTGGGCCAGAGCCTACTGGGTTTGGGAACACGCAGATAAGTAAGGGCTTTTGCCCTTGAGAAACTCACAGAATAATCCAAATGCTGACTTGAGCGCCCTGTGCTCTCCTGAAACTCAACCTGTGACACTTAGAACTTTATCACCTACACCTAAACCTGGGTTTCCCTGTTTAGGAAGTAACACTACCAAGCACTAGCTTAAGCTGGAAATCTGGGTGTTATCCCCAACAGTCCCCACCCTTGAAAAACTAATCAGTCATTAAAGTCTACTGATTCTATCTCCCAAACACTGCTGGAATATGTTCGTTTCTCTTAACCGTTTCTTCTCTTACATTTCTTTCACGGCCTCTTCACTGCCTCACTGTCTCCAGTCCATTCCCCATACCACAAGAGCAGTGAACTGTCTAATGTTGACAAATCTGATTGTGCCACTCCGCTGCTTAAACCCCTTCCATGGCTCCCCAGTGTCTTCCTCAGCAACCTAGCTCAGTCTACAAGGTCCTGCAACGGCCTGGTTCTACTTGTGTTCGACATCATCCCTTACCACTTGCTGCCAGGCTCTTGCCAGGCTGAACTACTTTCAATTCCTCTAGTGTCTGGGCTTTCTTCCCACCGGGCCTCTGCACATGCTGTTCTCTCTGCCTGGAATACACGTCACCCTCTCCCTACTTACCCCTGGTCAACTCTTATTTAGCCTCATGTCTCAGCTTTCATTCTCTCCAGAGGCCTTCACGGATACCCCCTCCCCCACCCACGGTCTGGACTAGGAGCCCCCATCACACCCTGTACCTCCCCAGTGACAGCACTCACCCCTACATCACAGCAGACTGCTGACTTAGCTGTGTCTTCCACCAACCCAGGGGAGCTGGGAGGGCTGGGTCTGGGGCTGTTGTGCTTGACTTTGCACGTAGGACCTTATACATGGCAGGTGCTCAAATAATATTTGTCCAGTGAACGGAGGACATGAACAAGTATTTCTGGAGCACCTGTGTGCTAGTCTGAGCACCGAGCTGGACTCTGGGGCTGCAGAACAGGAAGAGATCTAAACCAGTTACTGTTTGCATGGCCCAGAGATTACCTTCAAAAGAAGACCCATGATAAGCCATTGAACAAATCAATAGCCAAGAGAGTTTGAGCTAGTGATTAGTGCTACAAAGAACATGAAGCAGGGTGTTATGGGGAGGGTCAGGTGGTCAGGGAAGGCTGCTGAGGTGGTGAGCCTTGAGCTAGGCCTGAGGAGTGAGGGGGAACCAGCCATGAGCCTTTTGTTGATCATGAAAATGTTTGGGGTGGACCATTCCAGGTTCTTCACTGGGGATTTAGCCTGGCCTGCAGAAGGACCAGCAAGAAGGGCATTGTGATTGGAGGAAAGAGAAACATGATAATAGATGAGTCAGGAAAGCTGGTAAGCGCCAGACCACTCAGGATTTTCTAGGCCACCGGGAGGAGTTTTATTCAAAGAGCAATGAGAATCCATTGGAAAATGAAGAATGCAGGCGGCCCAGATGTCAGCCTCCTGAGCATTTCCCACCTCTTTTAACTTGCTGAGTGCACCTTGCCTCTTAAGATCTAATCAAAAGTACCCATTAAGGTAGGATACCAGGATCCCTACCAAAAGCCTCAGGAATTCTTAGGGAGCTTAGATTCTGCTAAGTACACCTGACTTTTGCTGATCTCTAAATTTTCCATCTGCTTTTGCCTCCTTTGTGACTCTCCTTTTATCTGTTCACTGATCAAGTCCTTCACTCCCAAAGTTCCACCAATTCCAGGCTGTGCATGGTGCACACTTGGCTGATGATTTGGAGCAAGCATTCAACAAACAGCCGGAAATTAGATACCATGTTTTTAAAAATCCCTTGTATATTCACATACACACACACTGCCACCATTACCACCACCGCACACACATGCACATTCCCACATAATTGTTACTGATATTCTCTACTCTAGCCCTAATGGCCTACCCCAAATGCCGAGACCCTCCATCTCCTACCACCTCCTTCTGCATTTGCAAGCCCTCTTGGCTCCCACATTTTTGCTCATTGCTTTTTCTTAAATAACAGCTTTACTGTGATATAATACAAATACCATCAAATTCTCCCTGTACACTCAAGTGTACAATTCAGTGGTTGTTAGCTATTTGCAGGGTTGTGCAACCATCACCACTATCTAATTCCAGAACATTCCAGAACATTTCATCACCCCACCAAAAAAACCTCATACCCATTAGCAGTTACTCTCCATTTTCCCCACCCCGGGGCCCCTGGCAACCGCTAATTTACTTTCTGTCTGTATGGATTCTAGA